CCCCCCGCCCCCCCCCCCGGCCTATTGGATTTCTCTGCCACCCTGGCTGGAGGCCGCGAGCAAGGTTTACCAGTGAAGGTCTCCAGTCCCTCCATCTCTGCCTGGAGGTGTGGGGAGGGAGGGTGCCCCACCCTGACCCACACCTCCAGGGCCTCTGGTTTGTTGTATTATAGTATATTTCGCTGTGGAAATGTCATGTTTAGTCGCCTTGGAGCCCACCGCCCGCTCCCATTGTTTGGCCCGTCCCTCTCCCGAGCGCCCTTTGATTTCTCTTGTTTCTGAGAACAGTACCACCCGTTCATCTATTGTAGAGTAACCCGTGACTCAATATTACCATAGTGCGATGTCGTTTTGTGCTATTTTGAACAATTAAAGACTTTTTTTGAAAAAAAAAATCTGGTGTCTCGCTATGTTGGGTATCCTGTGGCCTCTGGAGGGAAAGCTGGGGCTTGGCTCACAGATGAGGCCTTCTGCCACCCACTCCCCTTCTGTAGGTAACTGTGGCCTCTGCCCTTCAAGGGTGAGCACTGGAACAGAGACCTGGCAGGCATTGAGGGGTTGGTGCTGAGCTGGCGCTGGCTCTTACATGCTGCCAAAGGCCGCCCCGGCCACAGGTGCCCAGTGTGTGGTGGGCCCTCTGTCCTACAGAAGTGGGCCCTTTGGCTTTTTTTCCCACAGCACCAGGCCCTAAGGAGCAAGCCTGCTGACCTGGTGCCAGGCTGGCCACTGGGCCAGGGGTCTAGCCTAGGATTAGGTGGGCAGGGCTGGGCTTGGGTGAGAAGGGCACTGGGGGTGCACCAGCATCCCTGACTCCCTGGCATCTGCTGCCACCCTCCCCCAGGTAGGAACCAGAAACTCCTGGGCATCAAGAGCCACCCCTGCCTCAGCCTGCAGCACTGTGGCTCCCATCAGTGCAGGGCATGCCTGTGTGGTGGCCTCTGCGGGTGGAGCTAGCCCCCACTTCCACTCCACTGGGCTCTGTGGTGACTTGTCTCTCGGGAGTGGTGGTGTCCATCTGCCTGGCCTGTGGACTCGGGACTGCAGCTACCTGGGCCCTTCTGCGTGCCCAACTTGTCCTTGGCTGGGTGAAGGAGGACATGCATGCTGCACCAGTATTAGCTGAGACCCAGGAATCAGCGTGGGCCAGCGGGAGCCAGGCAGCCACAGTCCACAGACGCATTGGAGGTGGCACAAGCCAATGTCCCTGGGGTGGCACCTTTGGAAGACACCTGACTACTGCACCTGCTTGGAGGGCAGCCCTGTGATTAGAGTCAGACAGCCAGCGGACGCAGGGACCAGAGTGGGTGGCCAGGAGGCAGGCCCTCCAGCAGCAGCCCCTGGTGCCCAGGATGGGCTTCTGAAGCGGCCAGAGAGCAGAGTCACCAGAGGCTGTGCCAATCTGGGGAGCACGGGTCAGGCCTGCGCTCCCCGCCCCGTACTGAGCACCAGGAGCTGTCCTAGGGTGCCAGGTGGATGTCACCCGGAGCCTCAGCTCCATGAGAGGCCCGAGGGTTAAGAGGATGGAGCGCGGGGGGTGGGGCTGGAAAGTCCCGCCCCGCCCTGCTCCTGGCACCCAAGGGGGTGGGGCAGAGCTCAGTCAGCTGAGTGGCAGTCACGGGACCACAGCTAGTCCTGTCCGGCTCCCCGGAGAAGAGGGTCTCGGAGCCAACAGGCTAGTGGCGGGGCCCTCGGGGAGCTGCCCGCATAGAGGCAGGGCACCGGGCTGGCACCCAGGGGTGGGGGCGCACCTCAAGCTCTGTCTCCTCCAGACCATGGACCAGGATCGGGAGGCTCTGCGGGCGTGGAAGGTGCGCGTGGCGCACGAGCT